ATATGGTGTGTTTGTGCATGCGCGTATGTGTGTACGTATATGTTTGGATTGCATCATCTATTTTCAGTTTAGTAACAAGAAAAGCTAAGAAGCTGAAATTTTACAAGAAATAATATTGAGCCCGTATTATAAGGACACTTGTGCGTAGTTTTAGGTTTAATAAGTAAAATCGTTGAAAGAACGCAAGAGCACTTGAATCAGTGGACACTTATCAGGATCCAAAACGATTGCCGGAAGGCCATACAGTATTGAACAAAGTAGTCAGCTGCCAGCGACGTAGCTTAAGAGCTCGAGTTTCTGCAGGCGTTGAAAATACTGAAGTTTCTTTTCAGGAAAATGTTTCAGCTGCACAGTTTGCCGGTGTTGCTATCATTCCTAGCCCCAGTACTTGCTGTTTATCACAATGCGGTATTTTAAAGCTTCTATTTCACTAATCAATGTGGGAAACGAGAAAAATCCTGGGCCACTAGCAAAATAAAACGGAACGAAAATAAAACGGAACAGAAAATTACTTTTTGTTAGAGTGTTGTGGTACAGTGACTTTTACTATCAATTTTTGGCAATCATGGTACTACCACGCGCTCTGAAAAAAGCGATTTATCAGGCACTCACTTTAACAATTGTTTTTTATTACGTAAACTCTGCTGCATCGCTTTTTTTTTTTCTGTGTTTACATGCTAACACGAGGAGCTCGATTTTATTTCGCCTCTTTAGGTCGCATTGCTTCGCCGTTGCAGAACTGACCTGAAATTAAAAAGTTAACCTTATAAAGTAATGCCAGATCTGAATTCTTGGGATTCTCGTAGCCATTTTTCAGGCAGGCATGAATAAATTATTCGTTTCAACTTTTAAAAATTTCTGTTTTCTTTTTTGCAAATTAAGATGGTTAGATGATACACTGTCGGTCAGGTCAATTGCAGAGTGTCGTGGTTGAAGATCCCAACAGAGAATCCGATCATTTGCAGATGCCTGCCGGGACGACATGGCAATCACAGCACGTGGATTACACGGTACACTGTGCTTCATCAAGCAACTGTAACATTTAGAGTGGTGCTCCTTTATTCACCAAGCAATTAGGCGACTTTAGGCAAGTGGAATCAAAGGGTCTGGCATAAGCTCACTCGGCGTACGTCTGCGTCTCGATAACAACACATTTGTTCTACATCAGCCCTACAATTTTGGGGTTGCTTATGTTAT